TGCTGAAAGATGCTAAAGAGCCCTTGGAGCACTATCTGGTGTACTGCAAGGGAACTGCACCATTTTTAATTAGTACAGCATTGCTAGATGATACTTTTTTTTTCTTTTCCTGTGGAATGGTGAGGAAATTCTTCATACTCTGTCAAGTAATTCTGTTTTTTGTTCACATTTCTGTAGTAATCCCATTTATATTTCAGAAGAGTACTATGTTAATTTTAAATTAATACTAGGATTGTATCTATCACTGCATTTTGTCTTGTTTCAAAGTAAGTTTTTGATTAAAGTAAGCATTCTTGTCCACCTGATGCTCTTCTTGTTTAGTGCTCCTGTATGGTGGTATTATGTTAACATTTTAGAAGAATACTCAAAGATTTGAGCATGTTTTTCTTCTCGCTTAGACTTTGCAAATGACTGAAAAGCTTTCCCCACTCCTAACCTCTCTTCTGTTGTGCAACAAAAGAGCTTTCCTTTAAGCATCTTGATTCCCAAGCACAAGAAATCGTCTCTGGGCATTACTGAACATTTGACTTAAGGTGTGATGAATCCTCTTATGCCAAGTTGAATTTTTTGATATATACTGTAGATTGATGTTTAACTTATCTAAAACAAGTGTGGAACTAGGATTGTTCAGAGTTTCTCTTTAAGGTGGTTGTGTACAGATCTTGGGTTTTGTACAAAAAAAAAACAAACAACCAAACACCAAATACACTAAATCTGCATTGGATGTCACAGCCTGACTTTGTTTTGTTGAGGCTGTTTCTTTGCTGCCTGTTGTAGAAAGATGATTGTTGCATTATAACAGTACAAAACCTTTTTCTGACTTCGTGACTTGTGTGAGGGAAAGCCTTTTAGACTATCTGAAAACATCTTCATTGGTTTATTTAAATGTACTGGTTTCTTACTGTAGCAACTTACAGTTGTGGTTGCACTTTGGTATCAGCCTGGGGAGGGGTCATGTTTTGGTGACGTATGGCAAAACAGCCATTGCAAAATAATGCTATTGGTGGTGATGTACTTTGAGGTTTCCTTTTCTCTGAGAATTTAAAAATCCTAGTGTAGTTCAGAAAGCTTGTGGCGGCTTGTGACTTGAGTACATCAAAACCAATAGCTCACCTAAAATCTAAAACTGTGTACTTGGAGCTCTGTATATGCAGTAAATCTGTGACAATATTGTGAAAACTTTATAAAAATGCAAATATACCACGTTGTTAACTTGATAACGCTCATGCATCCCCTCCTCCTTCTGTCTTTATAGGTCTACGAGGGCTAATCAATCTTGGGAACACATGTTTTATGAACTGTATTGTCCAGGCACTTACCCACACTCCACTGCTGCGAGATTTCTTCCTCTCCGACAGGCACAAATGTGAAATGCAAAGCCCCAGCTCATGTCTGGTCTGTGAAATGTCTACGCTTTTTCAGGAGGTGAGTGCTGTTTGCCACAATAGCATCGCCTTGCCACAGATGTTGGCCATTTCATTCCCCAAAAGGAATTGTGAACTATTTGCAAATATAAAGGGGATGCAAATTATGTTTCCCCTCAAGGTGTGGCAAAACAGAGCAGCAGAGATTGAGTGAGACCCTACTGTCAAAGTACCCAACTGCTGAAAAGGAAGCTGTAGGCCTCTTAAGTCCTGTTCTTAAGTCACCCTTGTTTAGGCAAAGCTGGTATTGGAAATAATTACAGTACTGCCTGCTCTTCTGAGGCTGATCTGCAAGTCTTTTGTCTTAAAGCTGAATGTGTTCTTTAATTAAAGGTGCAAGTTGTAACTGGAAAATGTGTCACAGGCTCTTTGGGTGATAATGGGAGTAAGAATAAAGCAGTAGCATATAGCCGTGTGGTTTAAGGCACTGGATTATGTAGGTCTGTATAAATATTTTAAAGATCTTGATTCAGTGCTTGCTAACAGGGAGAAACATCTTTGCCATCATCTCTTATGTGGAAAGCCATTAATGGCCAGGAGGATGTAGAAAAAAAAGTGAATGTGTTGGTACAGTTTGTACCTTGCATGTACAATCTGCTCTTCTTTCTCTCTCTCGCTCAGGTGACTGGCTTTGCAATGTGCCTTTCTCTGTAGGTCTAATCGGTGCTGTATGAGACAGACACAGTCTTTTCCTTAATAAATAGTCACAGAACTTTATTAACTATCTTAATTCCACGTCAGTAATGTAAGGACTATGGCTAGGCATAGACTTCTCATTTTAAGATGAGTCTTCAGAAACAAACAAATCCAGTCCTGTGCCTTTCCCTCAGTGATAGATCTGCTTGCCTGGTAAGTAAAAGAAAAAAAAAAAAAACCAAACAAAAAAAAACTCAAACAAGAAAACCCAACCCAAAAAAAAGCTATAGTACGTGCTGTCACAGAGCATTTCAGATAGCTGGAGACGTCTGTACATAGAGCGTATCTTTTGTGTGTACGTTGTCATGGAAGTTCATTCAAACCGAGACCAACCTAAAATAGCTTTACCTTTATCTTGTGATTTTTTTTTCAATCTGATTTTACTTCTGTGCTTTTTTCACCAGAAGTGATTCTTTTTGGTCATTGCAGGTGAGTTAAACATGTGGAAGTTAGTCTCCCTTAGCTATTCCAATACAAAATTGTTTTCTGCTCGTACTCAGCACTCATGGAATTTGCAACTTTTCATCATTCTTACCAGTCCTTAGTTGAATGGTGTACTACTTATTTTTTGATTTATTTTTCAATTATTCCTGAGTCTGTCAGGAAAGGAGGTAAAAACAAAAGGCAGGCATACCAATAGGTAGCAGCTGCAGGATTATTGAATCCAGATGTGTAGTTAAATCGGTAAATATCATTCTGCGTAGATAAAAACAAATCAGTCATGGTATAGAAGTAACAGTTTCTGTACACTGTTAATATAGAAACCTATTTGCTTATTTAAAAAAAAAAGGTATTTTAGTCTTGATATCCTTCCATCAAATTGTGGTAAAAAAGTCTCATTCCGATGAATATCACTGCATTCTGTTTACACACATGCATTTTAAAAAAAAATCCCTTGGGAAACTGGAAATTAGTATTCACATTACAGATTGAGGTGCTGGAGGAAAGATCAAGACTGCCTAGGTCATGATTTTTATTTCCATCGTTGTCTGTGGAGCTCTGTTGATGGCCTAGGATGCCTTTTGCTAGACTACGTACAAGCATGTAACAAAGAAGGGGCTGTTATCCAAAATGGAGCCTAAATGCAGCATTCGCATGAGTTTCAGTTGTAATCAAGTTTAATTTCACACACAACTTTGGGAATCTCAGCCTTCATTTTCCCCAATCAAAACTCATGCCTGTGCTTGCATTGGTTCTAGTAATCAATGTTCTGCGACATGAGGGTGTGTGACTGAGGGAAGTGGTACCAGACTGTGAAGACAGCCGTACAGAAGTCCCTGTCCTTTATTTCACGTTGAAATACTGCAGCTATGTGCTGTGGGAGGACAGCAAAAAGTGACTCAACCACCTTGAAGTAAAACTAGAGCCTAGTCCTCCACAAGCAAAACTGCAGTGTCTGTATCCAACTCGGTATATTTTAGCTTGCAAGCAGTAAATACCACATTATGTTTGTAGCTCTGTCAGCACTCGTTATAAAACTCTGTTTCCCAGTGACTTTGAATTTCTCTACATTCAGAATTAAGACCCAAATCTTGCATTTTGGGAGCAGACTGGTTATCTTTCATGTCCCAACTATATGCAGTGGTTATGAAGATTCCTAGGCTGTCTTTGCAGAGATGAGGTCTGGATGAAGGAAGGCTAACCAGTGGAGATTTCAGTGCTATGGTTAAGAATTCCTTTGTAATTGAATTACCGGGGAAACTTTAGTTCAGGTTCTATCTTGTTTTTACATAGCTTTCCCACCGGGATTAACTTGATGTAGTTATCCCAAGGCATTTTACTCAGTGACAAACGATCAGGGCAAGGGTTAATTTCATCTCCCCTCCACCCTTCTTTTCTGAAGGTGTGATCTTAGGCAAATGGAATGCTAGAGGATCTGGTGAATGCATGCTAGTAAGAACTCTGCAGGAGAAAAAGAGACTGTTTTGAGCATTAAATTAAACTTACTATGCATAAACAAGCAAGTTTTGCTATTTTGCTTCTTAAACAGAAAACGCTTGTGCCCTTTTTTTTTGTATAAGATCATTTAGTTACATAGGTTGTGTGATTTTTTTGTGTGATAAATAGGAAACTACAAAGTTCTTTTACCTTGAAGTAGGTTGATGATGAGTAATGAGTGTCAGATGGTTCTCAGAATTGAGGATTTTTTTTTTCCTGGTAGCTTTTCTTGCAAATATGCCAAGCATTGAATCTGTTTGTTTTAAAAATATCCGACTGCATCCATTAACATTCTCATTTGTGCTACTTGAAACCTATTTCTCAATAGAATCATGACATGAATTACACTGCATATGAAAAGGATTTGGGAGTATCAGATAGTGGTGAAACTGGATGGAGGGAAGATAGAACACACAGAATCCGTTCATTGAGCCTTTTGGCTGAAAGGGTTGGTGCGCTACTTTTTAACTACTGGTATTGGTGTTTTAGTTTCGTGTCGCCAATGAAAATTGATTTCAAGATGGTCCACACTCTAATCTAAATCCTTTACAGAATGACCATTCCGGATCTGTGTCTGGGTGTACTCTGTGACTGGAATAGCGAGAATACCTGGGAATATGACAGAATGCAGTACATCTGCTCGGAGGTGTAAAGAACAAAGCTGCCTTTATTCCCACCATCACTCATCCTCATGAGCCTATCAAAGTGCACAGCACAACTAGGTGGAGAGTGGAGAAGTGAGGGCAAAAAGAAAAAGAAAGATGATTTATGGCTTTCAGATCTTAAAATTGTTACGCTCTTGGCTTATGTATAAAATAAGTTACAACCAAGGTACACGAGAGAAGTAGTAGTTAAGGCTCTTTACGTGGACAGAGACCTTGCATTTTGTAATGGAAAATACAGTTTGTGCCGATAAGAGTAAAAACTTTTCTCTGAAATTAGTGCAGAACATAAGAGTACATGGAAGCAGAATGGTTTTTTTCTGACTTCTTGGACCATTGCTCTTTGTTGGGAAACCTCCAGTAGGTGTTCTTTTATTCTGAAAGGCACATGTATTGCCCACTCCCTTTATCCATTGTAAATTTTCAGAACATTTAAAGTCTTAATTGAGAACCAGTTTCTAAGAGGAGGTTTTAGCTTCTCAAATTGGACTGGAGCCTGGGACAGGATTTATGCCTATAAATTCTTGATTACAAAGCTCGGAGACTGTTTAGTTGATACAGATGCAGGATAGATCAGATGTATCTGTTCACATAATTGGGAAACTTCTCTGCATGTGTGTTTGGCAGGAGGAGGAGAAGGAAGTACAGATGTGTGTGGCGATAGAGTTTTTTTTGTTGTTGTTATTTTAAACCTGACTGATATCTGTATATTTTTTTGTAACAATAATGCAAAATACAAAGCCTAGAATCCTCTAAAACCCCTATAGATTCTTCCTTTTAGAATCCAAGAGCCAGTGTTTTAAGTGCAAAAAAAGAAAGTTAATGCTACTGGGGTTGTGTGTTAAGAATGGAGGCTTTGAATCCTGGTTTGTTTTTTTTTTTCTCCCCCCTGTCCCAAACAGCAATTAAACAGTGTATTACCAAGCATTTTCAAATTGCTTGAGCTAGTTCCCTTCAATATAAATGACTGATACTGCTGAATTGAAAACAAATTTAAACAAAAACTGTTTTAAATTATGTTTGGAAGAATTGCGCCATTGAAGTGCTTTAAAGGTGACTTGCAAATACATCATTATTCATATTTGCACGCTTCAAGGAAAAGGTTTGTATAATAGTGATTGAATAAGACTTTACATGGACTTCTTTCCTTTTTGTGAACTGGAACAGCTCTGATAGGCCGTTCTTCCCAGCAACAAGGAAATGACAGAGATGGGATGGATGTTTTATATATTCCAGTTAAAATATTGCTTTTGAATGTGCTCAGATTCTTTTGTTTCATTTCTGATTTATTAGAATAGTGAAGCTTTCTCCCTCTCCCACGTATATTCAATAGCATTCTTACTAGATATGTTTCTAGTTTTTGTGTGATAATAGCTAATAATTTGATAAAGCTTCTTGTTAGATTCTTCTAATCCTAATGAAGCACTAGAGAATGTAAAATCTGCTGGCAGGTCTAGTGTCTGCAGTGGAGTAATTACAGAGAGTGCTGTTGGTTAAAATGACCGGAGAGCCCTGGGACTAATTGTAAGGGATGACAGAACAGAGAAGTCCTATTGCTGCAGTTCCCTGAATTATGTTGAGTAGCAGCTGCGTCAGCAGATTTCAATTACCATACTACTGCTCCAGTCCCTTGGTGTCGTTCTGGTTGGCATCAGAGTTAACTATTGATCTTTTTATTTATAGAAGCACTGCGTGGTGTTTGGCTGCAGAGGTATATCTTCTTGTTTGGAAAAAGCAGAGCTTGCAATAAAGACACTTCTTTGCAAGGAAATACACTAAAACCCTGTAGAAAACCCTACAGATGTGAGGTCTGGATGAGAAGATGGTGCTTATCTTTTGCCTACTTGTCCCTTAAAATGCAGTATGTTTTATCTAGGCAGGTTTGTAGCACAGTGCCTGTGCTTGCACCAATATAAAATGCTCAGAGACTGGACAAGGAGAAAGTTAGGGCTGGGGAAGGAAGCCCACTTTTCCAATGAGAGTGAGAAATTATATACTGCTGCATTTTTAAATCTTATTTTTGTTCTGTGTATTTGCTGCTTACTCTCTTCTGTTTGGGAAGAGTAACTGGAAATAAACCACCATGGATTTGATAAGATCTTGGCAAAACACAGTCGTGGTGTTGCAGGCACCCTTTACTGGCAAATACCATTTCCAAAGGTTAGGGAAGGCAAAATGACTTACAAATTTTCGCTAATTAAAAATAAAATGTTACCCTGTTAAATACAACCTGAAGCCCAAGTGGGTAAACTCTTCTGGCCTTTTCTGGCTCCGTGCCGGGACACCACAAGCCTCTCTGCTTTGCTTTTGGAACCGTGTCATGGTGCAGGGGTTCTTGAACAGATCCAGAAGTCAGCTTGCTCAAGAAGGGATTGTTAGCTTTAGTCTCGGACTCTGGGTGCCAGAATTGGCAGCAGAAGCGAGGACCCAGGAAGGTGAAAGTAGAAGAGCTGCAGCAGTAGCATTTGGATGGAAATGGAGAGGGTAAAGGAAGGAGCTGAGCCTCGACCCAGGGAAACACAGACCCTTAGTGGGGAGGGGTGGGGGAATGGCATGATTTTTTGGTGGGTTTTTGGTGTGGTAGGGGGTTTTTTTTTGTGGGTTTTTTTGTTTTTGTTTTTTTTTTAATGGGACCTGGCTGTTTTTATTAAAAAAAAAAAAAGGCATGAATTTCTGTAGGCAGTTACTTGTCCTGCTCTTCTGCTCTGATGTACCTCCCCACCTGTGTCACCACTCAGCAGTGCCGTTTCACATCACGGTTTTGCTGACTGAATAATTTGTCTGTGCACTCTCTAATAAGCTTCTGGCAAAATCACCTGGGGCAATTTCAGTCGCTACAGTAGCCAGCTCATCAGGTTTTGACTGAAGTAGATTTAAGAAGCAGATGCCGGAGCTGGTCCAGGACCAGAACTCTGGCAGTGGCACCCTGCAGGAGAGGTAATGGGCATCTGACTTTGGGGGTAGCTGAATGAGGTGGTACCTTCAGCTCTGCAAACAGCTGGGCTGAATAAAGTTGTTCTAAAGCCTTGTGCTGTTGTAGCTGTACAGTGAAAGACCAGTACTGGCATGAGGCTGCTATCCTGCTTATAAATTTTTCCATAAGATAGGACTGTGCACAGCAGCTGGATGCAGAGCGTTAACCATGAGTTGGTTCAGGGGCTGGCTGACAGTTGGCATCCAATATTCTCATCGTCAGTGTTTGTCTGGATTTTTGGGGGGCATTTTGTGAACGAAACTGCTGATCTCTTGCAAATGTAGGATTTGTTTTATTAAAGATTTATTTCTTTTTTTAATAAAAAGAAATTATTTATTTTAAATAAAAGCCAGTGGTGTAAGTAAGGGTTTTTTGAGTTTGTGTCTGTGTTTCCTCCCTCTGCCCCTGCCTTTTTTTGGCTGATCCATCACAAAATGAAAGGGGAGAAAACTGAGGTGTTCAGTTCTGAGATCACTTCTTCAGTAGCCTGTGATAAAAAGCCATCTCTGTATTTTATTATTAAGGCCATCAGAATTAAATGATTTAAATTTATTTGACTAATTGCACTCATTTAAGTTTTTAATAATTAAAGGCACTGAGGCTGTGTAACTTGTTAACAGTCATGTCCTTTTCTTTGCTTTGAGCAGTTTTACTCTGGGCACCGATCTCCTCACATTCCATATAGGTTATTGCACCTGGTATGGACTCATGCACGGCATTTAGCAGGGTACGAGCAACAAGATGCACACGAGTTCCTCATTGCTGCATTAGATGTGCTACACAGACACTGCAAAGGTAAGGCTTGCACTGCATCCTCAATCAACAAGGAATATTGGATCAAAAGGAGGTAGAACAATCTCTTCTTAAATCAAGTGTAGTGTCTTCCAGTACAGCAGTCTTAGCACATTCCTTTAAAAATGTTTGGTAAAGGAAAAGACTTCTAAATAAAGAAAGCATTCCCACTGTCAAAAATTACCTAGAGCTGGAAGCAGACAAGCTTGTACATTGATTTGAATCACCATCGTGTTCTTCACTTACTGGTTGTGAGTCACTTATCTTTTCTTTTAAATTGCCATTTTAATTCTATTTATACTTGAGATAGTTAGAACTCTGAGTAAGAGTGTCATGGGACTGATGAAAATAACAGAGGAGGCTATGGCTATTCTACTTAAATATTTTTCTACTGTATTTATGATGCCCAATTGCTTACAGAAACGTGAATAAGAGAAAAATGAGTCTTTGGGTTTGGTATGTCGTTTTATTAGTCTGTATATAAAAACATATAATTGTACAATACAGTAAAAATATTCAATGACATGCTTTTAGAGATGAAGTAGCTAAGCCTTGAATTGGTTTGGTAATATCATATGAAATTATGTATTTCGTGTTTGTTAGCTGAACTAAATCTGAAGTGAAAACTTCCCAATCTGCCAATGTTTGACCTAGCTTGATTCATGTACTCAAGCACAGAGATTTTTACTATTCTTGTCAGGGAAATATAGTAGGGCTGATACTAGCAAAACAAACAATCCTTAGTCACTAAAAATAAGCTTTAAAGCACTTAACTTTCCTCTAATGCTCTTAGAAAAAGCACTTAGAAGTGAGTTTTTTTGGCTTCTCAGAGGACTGTCAAAGGGAAGACTGCTACTGCTGCTTTGAAGCATTTTGAAGTCTTGCTTTATCTTCGAGATAGTCTTACGTGGTAGCAGCTGTGCTTGTTCAGGTTCATAACAGGTGTCTTCCAACAGAGGCTTCTCCAAAAAGAGTACTTCTAAGGACAGGAGTACATAGAGCAGTTCTTTTTTAATTGGTAATATCTGTCATTTGACAATCACTGGCTGAAATTCCATAAGCCTGATGAAACTAGTGTTGAAGTACTGCAAGGAACAGAGTCTGCCCAAACACTGACCTCTCGCTTCTTAACGCCGAAATACTGCTTGGTTCCTGTAAAGCTTCTGAACCATCGATCTGACAAATCTTGAGGCTTTTTCGTCATCTTTGATATAAAATGGTGTTTGTGTTTCTTCTAGACCTCCCAATTAGTTCACGAAGAAGTAGTATTTTCTTCTCAGAAGAATTGTAAAGAAAAAACTTGCAACAGTAAGGGTTGCTGAGCTCTTCTCAAATTGATAAAGAATCTGAAAAGACTTTTTTTTTTTTGAAGTGTGGTTTGGCTTTAAATGAGGAATCTCTGATGTATCTTTTGGAATTACCAACAAAATCAAGCTTTCAGCAGCTTCTTTACCCTTGATTCTGTTTGGCCTCTCCATCCTAAACAAAAATGAAACTGATCTGTCCGAAAACTTAAAAAAAATTATATGTTGGACTCTCTTTTTTGGAAAGATTGTGTGCATGTGTATGGATTCTTTTACTACTTGGATAAAGTGTTAAAAACACTGACTTCTGAATTGGTACCAGGTTTCATAATGGTTTCAGCCAGCTTGAATTGAGTTTAGGGAGTTTTGCACCTTTAGTTCTGAGCTTTTGTGGGTTGTGGGAAAGATACTGTTTACACTGAAGGACTGAAATTCAGTTATTTAAATGGGTAGTCTTAAATTTGAGTCTACTTGTGTGGACATAACTAAGCTGTTACAGTGCTACTAGTGGGAAGGCGTTAGCACTAGATCCTTGACATCTGTGCACCCAGGTTTTTACATTTGCTTCTGAAGAAACAAAGAAACTTTTATTAAACAATGGTGAATAATCTCTACCACATCAAGGTAATTTAAAAGAAGTGGTTGAGCAGTTGTGTGGGAACCAAACAAGTTAATCTAAACCAGAATTTCAAGTATGGTCATGATGAACCACTTTTGGAATGAACTACTTTGCTATGCAATGAGAAAGCTTTCCTGCTTACATACCTATGTGTGCACACAGGCACACACACGTGCATGCGAAGCATGCATAGGTAAAAAATATTATTACTAATACTGAGAATGTGTCCTAAAGCTACAATAAGCAAATAATGCCTCCCCTGCCAATATTAAATATTTATTTTGCTGAATCAAAAAAGTTTTTAAACCATCCAGTCAATAGTAATTGAGTTCTGTGATTAACACACAGTGAAGTAAAATAAAGTCATGGTGAAAATTTTGTCCAAAAGCCTTAACTTTTATTATTATTATTATTCATGATCACCAAGGCTTCTGGCATCAAAGTAAGTGAAAGTGTTCCTTATGATAAGAGCTGTATAAATGTCCAGCGATACCCATTTGGCTGACACTGGTCATTTATCCCTTTTCCATTCCATTTATTCAACTTCCTAAGAAGTGTCCTAGTGCAAGTCAGAGAAGGCTGTGAATGCTTTTTAGTGCTGTCATTGCCTAAATTAGGAAAGATACATGATTTTGATGTGCATTTAAAGATAAGTTTTGTAACGCTGCATCTTACAAAGCATAAAATTAGCTGCCTTGAGGTTATGAGCTGTCTGGCCCAGGTAGTTGCTTGTTTTGTTTGGTCTGGTTGTTTTTTTTTTAATGGTGGTTGAATATATACTTTGGTTTAGTGGTATCTGAAGTTTTGGAAGCGCAGGATACCTGTAGGATCACCCATGTAAATCATGTCTTGGGTGATAGCTCTTCTTGTGCTGGCACTGCTGTGTCGAGCTGTGGCATCTGTACAGGGCATATTCCGAGCGCTTAACAGGGCTCCTCTGTGCTGCTGGAGTAATACAAAAGGTTTCTGAATAAAAGGGATCCAGTCTGTCATGTTTATGCATCTTTATTTTTTATTCCAACAGCTGGAGAAAGACAGTCTAACTGGAAAGTAGTGTGTTGGTGGGGAAAAAACCAACCTAAGCTATTAATGACTCCTCTTTCGCTACTGTTCAGCCAAAGTGTGCGTAAGGGCTGCCCTGAAATGCACACTCCACCTAAAAAAGCGAGAGCTTTCTTGAATCGGAATTCTTTTTCCAGCATCGCTACTATAAATGACATCTAAAATTGTATCTGCATTTTGTGCTCTTCCAGTCTCTTGCTGGTTTGATAGTGCTCAGAGTTCTGCGGTGTCATTGTACGTTGGTGTTTGTGGTCCTTCTCGCCACAAAAGCTTCCAAATGAGATTCAGAGCTTACTCTGCATCGGATAGTAGCTGCTTCACCGGGGCAGTGCTGTAAGCAGCCTTGCTGCAAGGGTCATGGCTGCCTTCTTTGTACTAAAGTCTAACTGTTCACCTGGACTTTGGCGTGTATTGCCTTCGATCTTTAAAATGCACAACTTGGATTTTCAGTCTCTGAATATGTTTGGATTATGGAAGATGCTGAAAATGATCAGACATTGATCTATTGCTTCTTGTGTGTTTTCTTAGACTCTTCTATGAAGAACAAGTACAAAGTATAGCCCAGGCTGCATGTGGGATCCTTCAAGGAGTTCCAGGGCTCTTCATTTGTTAGAGGAATATAAATAATGGATATTTCTGCCCAGTCTGTAAAGCATTAGGTCAGCTTTTAGTCAACATGACAGATACGTCTTAATTGTCAGTGGTCTGGATGAAATTCAGCATGCTAATTCTGTAGACCCCCATGACAGTGAGGTTCCAATCATCCAAACACTTTGTAGTTTACTAACTTTGGCTCAGAC